CCTAGTGCCAGGGTTCTTGGTTGGATCACAAGTGGCCTTTGGTTTATAAAATTCTGAAGTTGCCCTTGGCCTTGTGCATTTATTTTATGATAGTGGGTATACTATGAATAAAGAATTAATAAACAGTATTTGAACATCTGATACCATTCCTAGAGCTTATGACAACTTCAGGATTTCACTACTTCCCTTCATTTCCTTTAAATTTCTCGATATTGGAAGGAACAGTGTCTTCTCATATGATGTTACTATTTTACTGGGCAGACTGTCTTTAACATCGACTGGAGAAGTTTTGGTGAATGGTGAAACAGTAGGGTTCCTCCACTACCTGTAGTATTAGTGTGGAATTTGATGGTATCAACTTGTAGCCCAAGCATGTGGGAGGCTGAGGCAGAAGGTTTCCCTAAGTCTGGGCAGCATAGTAACAGTAATATGACCAGTCCAAGATGGAGGCAGGAAGGGCAAATGCTTTGAGGCTTTGTAATCTCTTTGGATTCTATATCACCCTTTGTTGTAATGTCTTTCTGGTTCCCTTCCAGCTCTTTGATGAGCTCAGATTGTTTTCTTTAAAAAGATTACACATCCAACCGGTCACTCCTAAAATGCTTTCCTAATAGTCTGGTCTAAAAACAGAGTTAGTGAACAAAACAAACTAATATCTGGGAAGAGGATTGAGTATGGAGTCAGATGTTCGACTTGGTCAGTACATAGTTAAGCACAAGGCCTCAAGATATAGGAAACAGGTAAAATGAAGCCAATATATTGAAAGCAGTATTCCAAATTATTTTTCAAAAATATTTGTCTTTTTAAAGGCATAGGACCTAAATACACACACACGCACGTACACACACACACACACACACACACACACACACACACACACATTCTCTGTATCCTGATAGGTTTTACACTTCTGTCAACAGGGTGTGCTAGGCATCCTGTGTAAATATGGATAAAAAATGTACTTTTCTGTTTGATTACAAATGTGTACATCCTTTGGTAGATGTGGGGAACAGATGTCTTTGGGGTAACAGATGTCTTGGCTTTTATAGACTAATTGGCAAAGAGGGGGAAAAAGGGAGATAATTAAAGGGGTGGGAAGAGACACGAGCAAAGAGCAGTCTTCATGTTGGGGAAAGATCTAATAGACCTCCTTATTATGGGTAATTGCCCCTTTCTTCACCCTCATTTGCTGCCTTGTACCATATGACTTCAGAGTAAGTATAAGATAAAGAGCCACAAGGAGGGACTGCTATCTGCTAACAACCAGGTTTATCTTACTATGGAGTATTCTAAAGAACCGACTCAATTAACATCAGGTGTTAAAACAAAATAGAAAAGCATAAATCAAATCAGTCATGGTAACTTCCATTTCAGTTGGCAGCTTAAGGAACTGTGTTGAGGATGGCTGGTGTAAAGAAATAGCTTCTAATCATACAAATGCAGCCACATAGTGGACTGGTGAGAAGGGAAGGATGAGAGAGACAGAATATGGCATGTGTTAGTTTTACATTTTAGGTCTCATTTAGTTGGCTCTTTGCCCCTTTTCAGTGCGGTTGTCTGCCTATTGACCTGCAGTAAGGAGGGACATTGAACAGGTGTTTGAGCCCATTGCCATTATCAGATCCTCAATTTTGACTGTGTTTTCTATCCTGCAAGGTTTAAGGAAGAGGTGGCGTTCTCTATGTCTTACTAAGTCTAGATTATCCTGGTTTGTGTCTTTTACAGGAATTCTATAGCTTGTTAAGATATTAGTCTAAAGTGCCAATCATCCCATGATAAGAAATTCTATGTACCTGTTTTCTTGTGAAGATCCAGTCAGCACATTGAAGAGAAATATAGGGGACGTGGGTGGGATATCTTCAGAGGCTTACTTGCTGTAGAATTTAGATAAACCAAAGAGGCTGATTATTTGTTCTAGTGTAGGGCACATGGTATTGAGTTTTATTTGGCCACCTGTGCTGTCAGTAAACTAGTAAATAGAATTTGCCTAAAAATAACCACCCTGCCTTACATTTCATTGAAATAATACAGATTAAAGTGTCAGATACCAGTAATAATGACTAACTTATTTCTCCTATGTTAACATTGAATTTTATTTAGCCTCTAGAAACTAGTGTGGTTTCCAAAACAGTTCTTGACACTATGGCAGCTTGGACGGTATAGAAACAAGATCGCTTGTGTAGTATAGAGATTGGTACATTCAGTCAATTACTTGATATTTTTTTGTGCCTCATTTCATATTTCCAAAATGAAGATAATTGACAACCAAGCTGCCCTGGGAATTGAACACCATGCTAAATGCACATGAAATCAGCGTGTGTGTCAATGTTGAGTGGTTGATGACTGTTATCACTCCGTGAGGGTCACACATCCCTTAGCTGGTTTCCTTGCCTTCCTGGCTTAGCTCCTTCGGAAAACAAAAAAATTAAGATCTTAAAAAAAGATCTATTTATTTTTATTTTATATGTACAGTTCTTTTTCTTGGAGGTATATCTGGGCACCCAGTGTATGCAGTGCTTTGGAAGGCCAGGAAAGAGTGACAGATACTTTGGGATTGGAGCTACAGGTTATTGCGAGTAGTGGGAAGCAAATCCAGGTCCTGTGCAAGAGAACCAAGCACTCTTAGCTGCTGAGACAACTCTTCAGCCCAGAGAATCTAAGACTCTGATACTAGAGGGACAAAGTCTGAGATAGCATGTCAAACGACTAGGCTACCCACTTTCAGCCCCTTACATATGAGGGTATGAACCAGGCATAGAGTGGTAAGAGTTTTCCATACTTTGTAATATCAGATTTTCATGAACTGTTAATTTAGAGTTATCATATCTGTAAAATGCAGATAGTGCTCTACAGGTATGTCAAGATTTCTGGGCTTAGTGCTCTTACTTTGGTTCATTTGTCGAGAACTCCATGGCTCCCCAAAGTCAGCCATCAAGTGAGGGACAAAGCCAGGCCAGAGACCATCCTTTCCTGTTCCTACTGAGTGTGGGAAAAGTTAAGAAATGCACTAAAGCTTCTCGAAACATTACATATCAACCCCAATTGTTATCCCTCATTACTTTTTCTGTTATATTAGATTTATATTCTATTCCCAGTTGCTAAAAATTAGGGGGATGAGAAGAAAGCCTGGCTCAGACCTTGAAAAGCACAAGGACACTCAGTCCCCCCTGGCAGAGCAGAGAGAGACTCATTTCCTTGTCAGGACCTTTGAAATGGCTGTTGGGTCCTGCTTTGGGCAGCTGTTCTTGCAGGGATTATGGAAGTCTGTGGACGGTGTCTGTGTGACGAAGAAAACTAGTTTGACTCTCTTGGATGTTGGCAGCGGTGGTTACTAATGCTTGTATCATACTTCCTTTGTGCCAGAAACGAACACAAAAAGCTCTCTATGATTAATTTACTCTCCTTAGCAACACGATGAGGCAGTATGTTGTCATTGGAGTTATCACCGTCTGTTGAGGACTAAGTGATGTCCCAATGACAAAGCTTGTGAATCAGGTGTTGAAGACACTTGGCAGGTTGGGAAATGTTATGATTCCGTTCAGCGACACCTGGTTAAAGGCTGGTTTTTTTTTTATGTATGATCTCTCTTTTATTTAAGGAAACTGACTTAATATGCTTTTGTTTTGTTGATGTTTTTGATAGAGCCTCACTCTACAGCCCTGCTGGCCTGAAACGTACAGAGATCTGTCTGCCTCTGACTCCTGAGTGCTGGGATGAAAGGTGTGTGCCACCTTAACACGTGTTTTAGTCTCCTTGGTTGTGAGCCTTAGCCTTTCATAGCTAGGCCTTTCATCTCTCCAGACTCCTTAACACGTTTCTCAATCACTCGGTCTTGTACACCTGGCTGTCTGGAATCTCAGCCAACCTCCAATATGGGATTCTACTACAGCTCATTACTATTGATAAAAAGAGTATTTATTCATGATTACTCATTTATAAATTGAATATTTTGTTTAGTGTAAAATTGGGTCTAGTTTTAGTCGTTAGAAATGTAAAGACTAATTTTATTAACTGATTATGTGGCAAAATTTTGGATAGTAAGGTAATTGGAGGTATTTATGGTTTAACCAAACATTCATTAAAATCATGATAGAAATATTTTAGGTTGTAGTACTTGTAAATGATTTATTGAATACAAATCTGAATAAATTAAAACCTCTGAACTCTATACTGACATTTCATAGCAAGACAGAATATGTCATTTGGACATGTTATTGAGCGTGTGAATGTGTGTATGTGCATGTGTGTGTGGGGGGTAAGAGGGATGTTAAGATGATATGCTAATAAACATTTAAGCTTTGAAAGTTTTATTGTCATTATTATAATAAACTATACTATCAGTGTGCTTTCTTTTGTGGAATAGAGGTGCCCATTGAAAACTGTCTGATGGTCAAATGGCTGTCATACTAAGATATATCCCTTAGCGGAAGGGGAAGTAGAATGGTTCATCAATGCCTTCCAGGTGCCTACGAGGGCAATAGGAACCTTAAGGTCCAGAGAGTAGAAACACCAATAATTTTGGACCTATGTGTTTCTATGGTTTGTTTTGTGTTCAACAAAAACATTTACGAGTTGGGAGAAGTGCAAATGAACATAGCATGCTGGCTCATTGGGTTGCAGTTACCTTGTGTCACGTCATTGTTCTGCAAGCTGTGCCAGCCAGCTCCTTGTTGCTGAGCTACGGTTTCCTAGCATTTCATTGGCACTATTGATTTAGGAGTAAACTGATTGAGCTTGAGAAGGATTTAGAGTGTGGACCAGGAAACCATAGTAACTATAGGAACCGCTGTATAAATTCTGTATAAATCACAATAACCAACCAGAGGATAACTGACTGAGTAGCCTGTTAATGAAGCACAGGATGGAGAGGGTGTCCTTATCACATTAAAAACCCCTCTTCAAGTTATGTTAAGATTGAGCATTGTTCTCAAGCATCACAAAGTAACTGCATGTGATGTTCTGCATTTTAAAGCTTCTTTCTTGCCTTCCTTTTTCCAGGACTGAAGTGTGTGTGTCTTTTGTGTGACTCTTCAAACTTTACCTGCCAAACGGAAGGAGCATGTTGGGCCTCTGTCATGTTAACCAATGGGAAAGAGCAGGTGATCAAGTCCTGCGTGTCCCTTCCAGAGTTAAATGCTCAAGTCTTCTGCCACAGTTCCAACAACGTGACCAAGACCGAATGCTGCTTCACAGACTTCTGCAACAATATCACACTTCACCTTCCAACAGGTAAGGGGTGGCATAGCCACACCCATTCCTAAAGATGTGTCACTCTTGGAAGATGATAAGCAGAGCAAAAACCAAACCATCTAAAATTTCCTGAGACAAAAATGTGTATTTTACTCTTCTCCTTGTTTTGGGCTGGTGAAACTCTCTAGAGTCTATCTGTGGTTGATGCTTGAATTCTTAAATTGTGCATCCCTGTCAAAACATTGACAATAGTGTCACAATCTTGGGGAAATTTGACCACAGGTATTACAATGTTTGACATAACTAATGGACCTTTAGTCAAATGTAAATTTTTGTGAATACTTTTTATTAAAGAAAGCAAAGAAAAGAAGTGATACCTAATCTTCAGTGATAGAAATAGATCATCAGCCTACCCTAGGAGAAGGGAAGGGATAAGAGAATGTTTTGGAATGATGAAAACGGTCATATGTACATCCAGATTCATCAAACCGAAGCATATATACTGTATCATGTTAAAGTCATGCCTCCCTAACATTGATTTTTTTTAAATGAAAGACTGGCTTCTACCTGAATTTGAGGGTACAAGCAGAGCATAAAATCGATCTGGGAAGAATCTACGTTCTACTCTACCAAGACCCTTTGCTTTCACTGCTGTATAAGCAGTGTCTTGTCTTGAAAGAGATGTTGTCCAAGTCCTTTCCTGGATTTATGCTGACTGACAGAGCATGGACTTATAAAAAGTCATCAGTGCAGCCAATGGGACGCCCCTCTTTATCCCCTGTACCTTTTGTATATTGCCACTGATAAAAACCAACGATAAATATAAAGCCTTATTTTAGGATGCCTATGACTCTCGGGTAAACCAGGGAAGGACATGTACATGACATTCCATATCATCACCAAGTCCAGGAAGGCTGTGTATGAGATAGTGTGAGGATGTGTGCTATAAGCCAAGATTGCAGATGGCTTTAGGGCATGAAATGGGCAGACTGTAGCTTGTCAGGGTGAAGCCTGTGAAGTAATACTTAGAACAGAATTTTCTGAAGAATGAACTAGGTACCACAGCAGTACTCAAAAGGATTTAGAGAATTTTTAGGTGGCTATTAAAGTGGTAAACATGACATTGAACTTCAAAAAAGCAGTTGTAGGTCTGTACTGAAAGCTCACAATGATTTTTGTTACTGTGTGCAACTTGCTTACCTTGATCAAAACTTCTAAACACTTTTGCTATCTTGTTTTTCTTCAAGATGTCTTATTTCATGCTACTACATCTTTATCACTTAGGTGCTTGTTGTCCTGCTTTTGTTTTTCGAGACAGGGTTTCTCTGTGTATCCCTGACTGTCCTGGAACTCACTCTGTAGACCAGACTGGCCTCGAACTTACAGTGCTGGGATTAAAGGCACCCACCACCACTGCCCTTTCAGTTTTAACATTTAGGGTTATGTTTAATTTCAGTTTGTGAAAAATGGCACAGCACATAATGGTGAGGTAAAGGTATAAATTTATTTTAGTTTTTTTTCCCATGTGAGTTGTTTCAATGTTCAACATCAGTTGTTAAAAGCTCTGGCCTTGGGGCTAGAGAGATGTCTTACTGGTTAAGAGTATTGACTGCTCTTCCCAAAGACAGAGGTTTGGTTCCTAGCATCCATGTAGTAGCCTATAACCCTCTATAACTCCAGTTCAAAGGGATCTTCTGCCTGCTTCTGGCTTCTGTGGACACTGAAACTACATGCTATATACAGATATACATGTAGGCAAAACATCTCTACACATAAATAAAAAGAAATCTTTAAAAAATAAAGAGCCCTGGTATTTCCATGTAGAGTTATTTTGATACTTAATTTGAAAATAAGGCAGATCTATGTGTATCTGTATATCTGTGTTTCTATTTAAAAGAATACATTTATGGATGCTTTGTGTTCTGTAGTTTTTCTATGCCTTAAGCTAGTATTGAACTATTTAGTTACTACAGGTGTTTAATAAAGATTGAAATTAGGAGGTGTGACCCTTCTAGCTTATTTTTTTCAAAGTTTATTAAATTATAAAAGTTTCCATTTCCACCCCTCCTCCCAACACCCTCCCACTCCCCCCACTCCCCGTTCTCCTCCCTCTCCATCCCTAAGAGCAGTCAGGGCTTCCTGCCCTGTAGGAAGTTCAAGTTCCTCCCCCCTCCCTCCAGGTCCAGGAAGGTGAGTATCCAAACAGACTGGATCCCCAAAATCCAGTATATGCAGAGGAAACAAGTCCCAGTGTCATTGTCAATGGCTTTTCAGAAAGACCCCGTGCCAGCCACATTCAGAGAATCCGGCCACATTCAGAGAATCTGGTTGGATCACGTGCTCATTCAGTCCCAGTCCAACTGACCTTGGTGAACTCTCATTAGATCAGTCCCCTTGTATCAGTGGGTGATTGGACCCCTCGAAGTCCTGATTTTCTTTTTCATGTTCTTCCTCCTTCTGCTCCTCATTTGGACCATGGGGGGCTCAGACCGGTGCTCCAATGTGGGTCTCCGTCTGTATCGCCATCCATCGTCGGATGAAGGTTCCCTCTGGTCTTGCCTTCTTTGCTCACGTTCTCTTTCCTTCTGCTTCTCGTTTGGGCCTAGGGAGTTAAGTCCAGTGTTCCAATGTGGGTCTCTTTCTCTATCTCCATCCATCGCCAGATGAAGGTTCTATGGTGATAAGCAAAATATTCATCAGTATGTTTTATGGGCCAAGGCTGGTTCAGGCACCCTCTCCTCTGTCCAGAGAACAATCTCATTTTTTAAATAAAAAAATCTTATCCAAGTAAAATAAGTAATTTTCATCTTTGTTTAAATTTAGTCAGTTTACTTCTCCAAACGACACACTGAGATTTTGATTAACTGAGTTGAATACAAAGAATAATCTGGAGATAGTAGTCATGGTAATAATATTGATCCATGAACATAGTGTGTTTTTCCATTCATTTCATCCTCTCATTACTCTCGGTCAAGTTTGTAGTTATCCGGGAACATAGCTTAGGCAAACATATTTCATAGAGTTTACCAACCTTCTGACTGTGGTTGTGAATGGCATTTTCAGTATCACAGTTTGTAAGTGTTCATTTCTCCTACGTGAGAAAGCTAATTTTGTTCACTGAGCTTCAACCAAGATTGTGACGATAATGTATTAGTTCCAGTATATTTATTTATTTTGAAATGATTTTTGGACTTTTCCATTATTTGTGAGTGTAGTCATCTTAAAAGTCTTTGTTCTGATCTGTGCTCATTTTGTTTCTTCTTCTTGTATTTTGCACACCTGTGGACCTCTATTGTGCTGGTGGCTGGAGGCCGTGCAAGCAAAGACTCTTGCTGTCCCAGGGACAGTGTTTGGTCCCTTACTGCTTTTATTTCTTTTATTTGCTTTGGTATTGTTTTGAGAGAAAGCTTGCTTGATACTCACTATGTAGCCCAGGCTGCTCTCAAGTTCATGGCTATCTTCTTGTCTCCGGTTTTCTAAGTGCAAAGATCCCTGCACTTAGCGCAAATGTCCACCATCCCTGACCATCAGTCCTTTCACTGATAACATAACATAATTCATAGCAATTATTATGCTAACCATAGGTAGCAGGTGCCTAGTATTAATAGGAAGAGTTTTCTTGTATTTTTAATTTGGTGAAACTTGTTTATAATCCTAAGTGGCTATTCATTTTTCAAACATTTTATGACTTTATTAAGATTATCTTATGACAATGATTACATTAACTAGATTCAAATCATTATCCTTAGGAAGGGAAATATGTATTTTGTAGCCATTAACTAATATGTCTACAAGAAATGCCATGTATGTCATTGAATTAAAAAATCTTTATTAAAACTAAGAATTTGTATCATTTAGTGACATTTATGGTAAATGGGCACTAAATTGAAAAGTGCTACATATAGGATATGTGGTCTCCTTGTGTGCAGTTGTTCTTGCAGGAGGCTAGGAATGGTTCTTAACTATGTGTGGAACAATAGCTAACTGGAGAAAGGTTTGAAACTTACCTAAGCACAGACCGTGTCAACAATTACACCATTGTCGACCAAGGTTTCTGTCTCACCCAGTCCTGCAGTCATTCTTCTGTTGACTGAGGTTTCTGTCCTGCCCAGTTCCCACAGTAGTTAAGTCCCCCCAAAAATCACACAGAGGTCTACATTAATTATAAACTGGTTGGTCTAGTAGCTCTGGCTTCTTATTAACTCTTATAACTTCCATTAGCCCATAATTCTTGTCTATGTTGGCCATGTGGCCTAGTACCTTTTATCGGTGAGACAGTCACATCTTGCTTGTTCTGTGTCTGGAATCCTCTCTGTCTGAATGACGACTGCAGACTGACTGTTTCCTCTTCCCAGAATTCTCCTGTTCTCATTGTCCTACCTCTACTTCCTGCCTTGTTGCCCCGCCTCTACCTCCTGCCTGGCTACTGACCAATCAGCATTTTATTAAAATACAATTGACAGGGTCCAGACCATTGTCCCACAGCACACCATTTTCATGTCATCAGAGAGTGGGGTCAGCGACCCTGCTCTGTCTACCATGGACCTGTCAGTTTCAAATGTGATCATGTACATAATGGAATATAGACAGGCATTCTGAAAAGTAGTGAGCTTTTTCTATGGGACTTGACAGTGAACTTTGTGTTCATGGCCAAAATTGTGTAAAGTGAGGAGTTAATTGGAAACAGTTATGTAGATATGGAACTTTCTTTTAGGATTCTAAAAGGACCCCTGCCCCCATGTTCTCTGTCTTTCATCCATCAATCTCTGGGCCATTTGTGGATTTGATGAAGGACCAAGTCTCTGCCTGCTTCAGGTGGCCCTCTTCTGTTCTTAGATTTTGTAGTAGCTGGCCTCTTGGTTCATTTCTTTGTGAAAAAATTTCTACCTTGAATAAAGCTTGTGCTTCCTCCACCCCTCCTGGTCCCAGCTGTGACCCTAGTAATGCACAGCTGGATGATGAATGGTCCTTACTATTTCTTTCCTCCCCTAAATGCTTAAAAATGTTTGAGGCTGATTTCTAACAGCTTAGTGGCTTTC